GGTCCATCTGGTCGCAGCCCTGCATAAATACATCCATAGACCAAGCGGGTGGCCCCGCTGCTGCGGCTGGCGTCACTTCGGCGGGTGACCCCGCTAGAGCCTGGAGTGCTGTCAGCATCTGAGGTGCCGACATGTCTGGTTCCAGGTATGGACGCAGCCGTGCGGCCCCTGGGCGCGACAGCAGGTCGTTCATGGTTATCTGCTGATGTGCTGGCGCACTCAGGAGCCGGATTGCTTCTGCGACCTGCTCTTGGAGCATGTCCTTATAGTCCTCTTCGGCCTCTTCGGAGTCAGAATACGCGGGATGGCCCCGCATTTCGTCATCAGCGTCTCCCGCTTCCGAGCCAGCTCGCGGAAGATCTGGCAGCAACGGCATGCCAATCACCTGCGGTGCCAGCGCGGCGGTGAGCTCTTCCTCGGTCGCCGGGACGGTCTCAGCTTCGGAGATCTCGTCGTCGGCGGGTGGCCCCGCTGGAAGACCGAACCAAGCATTGAACGCGACCTCGTCGACTTCGTCCCAGCCGTGGAACTCGTCGAAGAGGGTCACTGCGTAGTCTTCCAGGGCTACGGTCACTTCAGCGTAGCGGGCCATCACGTAGTACGTGGAGGAGCCCGCGGCGGGAGCCGCTTCTGGATTGACGTAAAACTCGTAGTCAATGTAGTCTATGTCATCCATAAAAGAATTTTGAGCCAAATGTACGGATCCCTTTCCTTTCCCTTTCGGGCATTGATCGCGCAAGTGCTCTGTGCTGCCGCATGTATGACACTTCATAGTATTACCAGAAGCGTCCCTAGGGTTGCCCCTCCGCCCTTTTCCCTTACCGGAGGTCCGCCTGTGACCTCGACCTTTGCCTCCGATAAGAACTTCCTCAAAGACTATATCAGTTAAGGACGTGAGGAAAGCAGTAATACCCCTACCATGCATACGGCGTCTGCGACCCCCTTTGCCACGACCCTTTCCATATCGTTTGAAATGTCGGCGTACTGCACGTCTCACTTTTCTGACTGGTTTCTTCATAAAGCGCCTCCAACGGCGTTTTGATTTGCGATAGGCCATAAAAGCGGCTTCCGCTCTTTGTTGTTCAGAAAGGTGAGTGTCATCCGCTGGATAGTCATTACCAGCAGAGACTATGCCATTGTGCTCATCGTCAGATGAGGTGTCTGTGTCAGTGCCAGATTCAAACGGTGAGGGTGGCTGAGACCCTTGAGCGGATGACTCCGCTTGGCCCCAGAGGGTTGTGCCCGAGGGCGGGCTTGCAGTGTAGGCGGCGCCTGGCGAGTAGTTCGACCAGGCGTTCGCCTCAGCTGCCTCTGCCGATGCCTGGCCGGTCTGCCCTAAGAAGGCAGTGGCCTCGTTGGGCATATCGGCTGGGTCAGCCCAGGGACTTGGCTCGCCAGGACCAGCGGGTGACCCCGCAGTCGTGGCGTAGACACCTGCATGTGAGTGGTGCCCTGTGAAGATACCCGCAATGTTGCCAGGAGAGCGCTCGGCAACATGTCCGTAGTTCCTCATCCTGGTCAGCAGCCTGTCATAATCTGCTTGTGTTCTGGGCATCTGATGATTAAAAGGCTCCAGCAGGTGTTGGGCTCGTGACGCGCCAACGCCTAACGCTCTGAAAAGAATCAGCGTTAGGATCTGAAAGTTGGGGATGACAAAGCCAACAGAGTTAGCCTCGTCACGGGCCATCTCGAATCGAGCTAACACTGAGTCGATTCGCTCGCCCCTTTCGACGCGAAAGTCGATAAGGGCAGTGCCAGAGTTGAGCTGGCGCTCATCTTCCAGATTTTCAAATTTGGTGCTCAGTAGGTACAGTATATATGTGACTGCATCCGTTGGCTGTCCATTGACAGTTACACCATAGTTGATGATCTGGGAGGGGACCTGCATGGCGATACGACGAGCAAGACCTTGAAGGCCTCGTTGTAGTGCTGCAGCTTGTTGTGGTGGCGTCATATTGCCGCTCGTTACGTTTATCCATGCATGTACTTCGCGAACGTATTCGCGAAAAGGCGCAGTACCGGCAGGGTCCCATGAAGGGCCAGTAGTACGCGTGTCGTCCATCCCCTGCCGCATGTATCCCACAGCACATCCCATTATTACCCACAGAATGCCGAAGATAGTTATCTTAATCCAGTGCATGTGCATTTCGGCTTCGGTGATTGGTTTAGGCTGTGGTTTGTCAGGCTCTGGCGTAGTAGCCGTGAGGCGCCTGACTGGCACGGGATGCAGGTGGCCCCGCTGCGGGTAGCCCCGCAGGGTGACCACGTTCTCGATCGAGTTGCCGATTGGCAGCTGGTGGAAGTCGAGAGTGAAGTAGCGCAGTGAAGTAGGAGAGAGCGTCTCGAGTTCGCGGGTTGCCCCGCTAGCTCGATCGCGGACTGGCTCCGCTCCTCGCAGAGCCGGCGCAACATGGTATTCCACCGTAGTAGTAGTCCACCAAGTTGTGCCGTGGATTACAGGAATCAGAGCGAGAGCCAGCCACACGAGAGTGTAGCCAGCTCCGCTACCAAGTCGAAAACAAGCTGGTAAGCTTAGGTATGTGTTACGCTTTAAGCGTTGCCATATCCCAGGCTTTGGCTCATATCGCATGAGCAAGAGAGCAAGACGAAGCATGGGATCTGGAGTAAAGGATAGAAGAGGCATCTTCAATGGAAAAGGTATTTTCCGATCTCAGATACCAGTCGTGCGCCTCGGTGAGGCACAGTCATATATTTGGCCGGGCCCGGCTTGAGCCAGGCACGGCAGCGGTGCATGCTCGATGTATACCTCGCCTTTAACCTTCTCCGTTTAAAGTCAAGAGGGCCCCAAGATACCTCTAAGAGGCCCCAAGAGGCCCCCCAGACACCCCCTACAGGCAGCTAGGCAAGCTGGTACGATTTCAGAATTCGGCCCGCAATCGTAATCCGCCGACCCCTTGGGGATCATCGGCGTGTGAGATGCTTCCCCCTCCCCAAACCCCTCCCCCGGGAGCCCGGTCCGGTCGATTTGGAGGGGGGGGGGGGGTCCGGCACGAGCGCAGCACGGCCGGGACGAGCGGTTCACGGGGCTTTTCCGGGCCCAAGAGGGCCTCAAGACGGGCCAAGAAGCCCCCAAGAGGCCTCCAAGACGGCCCACGAAGGCCCCGAGACGCCAAACGACCGCTCCAAGACGCCCAAGATGGCCCCAAGACGGGCCAAGAGGTCTCCAAGACGGCCCCCGAGGTCCCAAACAAGCCTCCCAAGAGGGCCCCAAGAGTCTAAAATTGTTGATTTTCCATAGTGTTTTTCGATGTTTTTTGCTTTTCCGCCTTTTCGGCTTCCCGACGCTCCAAGACGGCCAAAGAGGCCCCAAAGACAGCCCCAAGATGGCCCAAGAGGCCCCCAAGACGGCCTCCAGACGGCCCAAGACGGCCCCAACACGGCCCAAGAGGTCCCCAAGACGGCCCAAGAGGGCTCCAAGACGGCACCAAGAGGGGCCCAAGAGGGCGACCAAACATGTTGAAACTCTAGCTTTCTGCCCCCAGGAGCCCCAGGGGGCCCCAAGAGTGCCCCAAGAGGCCCCCAGAGGCCCTCACGAGGCCGCCCAGACGCCCCAAGGAACCCCCAAGAAGCACCCCAGAGGCTCCGAAACGGCCCCCAAGTGGCTCCAAAACTCGCGGTGTCGCCGTCCGCTCGGACCCCCCCGCGGAACTGCCCGAGACCCTCTGGCGGTGGCGGCGAACAGACACCAAACAAATATCACTCGCCTTTTCACCCCTTCGCAGCTTCTACTACCCCCAGATTGGCATAAACAAGGGGTCGGCGGTGTGGCGTAAGCCTAAGAATCACACGAATACACCAGACTGTCAATCCAGCCAGGTCAAGGGCCGTCGGCCCAGCCAGCCTGGGGTAAGGGGGTTTGGCGGTAGGCCGCAGGCGATGATCGAAGCGTCGGGCGCCCGAAAACGAAACGAATGCAGGGGTCTCCGCAGACGTTGACGAGGGTCCCCGTTCGGGAGTGTCAACCTCGCCTCGGGCATCGGATGCGGGTACGGATCCGCTACGGATCCTATGCGTATCCGATGCGTGTTGGACGGATCTTATTCGGATTCAACGGGTTGTGGGCGGATCCGAGTGGGAAAAGGACGTGTTTGGCACGGACCCTGTCGGACCACTGCACCCTTGTATTATATCAAGGGCAGCGAACGACTCGGAGGACGACTTACGCAGGGGCGCGGAGCAGGCGCGACAGGGGGGAGCAGGCGCCCCCTAGAAGTTTGCTCAGGCGCTCCCTCTAAAGCTTCACTCAGGCGGCACCTTCCAGAACGTTCCTCAGGCGGCTCCTTCAAAAACTTTGATTACTGAGCTGCTCCTCTGGGTTCCGACGTTTTGGACTTCGCCGTCGCCGTCGTCGTCGTCGTCGCCGCCACATTCTTGAGGTTCAGACCCCGGCCACGCGTTGATTGTCACGCTCCCGGTCCAGGCAAATCCAGTCACGTGTCCAGTCCACGCTCATCGTACCAACTTTACCCGACTGTCTACTAAAGACCCCAAAGGGCTCCAGACAGGCCCCAAGAGACCTCGAAAGTGTGCCGCCGCAAACGCAGGCAAGTGCTAGAGATGCTACAAGACAACCGTCCAACACAGCCTCCAAGACGCCCGCAGGATCTTCGGAAAACTCCCCAGAAGGACCCAGGGATCCCACCCACCCCCGAACACATTCCCAGTCGCTAGCAGCTACTCTTTCGGAAGTCGAGTGGTACCCCTATCGAACTAATTATGTAAGACTGATGTGCTCTCTTATGTATCTTGTCCCGGTGAGGCATCCTTTTGGAGTCTGCGAGAGTGAACTCAATCCTTTTTCGCATTATTCGGGCGGCTGTGTTGTAGTGGGCCACTTCCTTCAATGGAAGCAGGGAACTTGGAGGGAGGGTGTAGTGCAAACGTGGTTATTGCGTCTCTGGCTTAAACTGATCCTCCTCCTCCTCCTCCTCCTCCTCCTCCTCTTCTCTCCTCCGTCCTCCTGGAGAGGTAGCGCCCTCCTTGCTTTTCTCCGCGGCGGCGGGCAGCGCGCCCGCGGAGGCCGCCAGGCCCAGGGCGCCCGCGGCGAGGGCTGCGCGCCTCTGGGAACCGGGGCGCGGTCTGCGCGGCCGAGGGGCGGAGGGAGGAGGGAGGGCATGACGGAGGGAGGGGACGACGGGGAGGGAGGGATGTGGAGGAGGGACGGTGGAAGGGGCGTGGGAGGAAGGGGGAGGGGGAGAGGTGAAGGGGGGAGGTTCATTAAGAAGTTGCCGGCGCTTGACGCCTGGGCGCTTCTCGGACGATCCGCAAAAATCTGCGAGAACCTGCTGGAGTCTGGAAGAATTCGGAAGAAACTGAACGAATCTGGAAAAACCTGGGACAATTCGGAAGAATCTAGAAGAATCTGGAACAATCGATCATCACCACCATCATCACCATGCCCCCTCCTCCTCCTCTTCCTCTTCCTCCTCCTCCTCCTCCTCTTCCTCCTCCTCCTCCTCCTCCTCTTCCTCCACCTCCTTTTCTTTTTCCTCTTCCTCGTCATCCTGGCACCCGTGCCACTGTTTGCCCGCAGGGGCCAGGAGGAAAACAGGCGGGTTGCTGCCCGATCGTCACCCCTGTTTGCCCGTGGGGACCAGCGGGAGAGAAAGCTGCATCTCGTCGCCAGCTACCCCATTGCGGTGGCCCGGCACGAACACCGCGTGCGCCTGGGCGGGGGAGCGGGTCCCCTGCAGGGGGGCTCATCGGTGGACCCCGCACCCATCCCTCCCACGGCCAAGGTGCCCTGCCATGGCGTGCGTGGGGGTGCGGAATCGCCTGTGTGGGGTGGCGCCCCCACGGGCGGCTTGGGGCGGCACAGGGGTGTCGTTATCTGAGCCCTACGGGGCGGACGCGGTTCGGAAAACTGCCTGGCGGCGTGCTTCGTGCGAAGCATGGCACGGCAGTGCTTTCAGGTCGCTGTGTTACAGGCGTGGGCCTGTGGGAGAGCTCTTCGCCATTGCAGCGTGCAGCATGGTTTGGGGTGCTCATGTGGGGCCCTGTGGGGGAGTTCGCATGTCCTCGCAGTGTGCAGCAGGGCTTGCGCCGCATCTTTGACATGCGGGGGAACGCTTGTCCTCGCAATGTGCACCAGGCCCGCTCTTCGTCGCCCGCAGCCTGCCTCGGTTACCGACGGTCCAGTTGCTGCCTGGCGTTCGGCCGCGAACGCCCCCTCCATATGACCAAAGTGCTCGAAATTTTACTTCCAGTGAACCACAGAACCGCACCGCGAACCACAAAACCGAACCGACCGAGGGAAAACCGACGAAACCGGAACCCGTCAGACACCTGACGTGAACCGAAGCCAAACCGAACCGGAGGCGGTTGAACCGAACCAAGCCCGAACCGGGAACCGAACCGGGAGACGGTCGTGGAGGTGGACTGTTGGGAACTGCCCGATGCAGGCGCCCACTCTTGCGCTAGGTCCATCCCGCTCCCAACTCCTCCCCTGCGCCCCCGAGTTCCCTCGTCCTGTTTTCCTGTTTGTCCAGGGCCGAACTGGGGGCGGAAGGGCGGCGGAAAAGCTCAAATCGCATTTTGGACGGTTCGAAGATGCGTTTTGGGCCTCCAGGTGGGTGATTTTCGGAACATCCAAGGCTTATATTACCCGATGACCGCTACAGTCTGCAAAACAATAATTAGATGAAAAATACTCTAAAAATATAGGAGGGGGGGGGGGAACGCCGATGCTGAATACTCAAAAAATAATCTAAACATACATCATAAAACCAATGTTTTTCTCAATCGCCCCACGCATTGTGCGAGCGATGAACCTTTTGCAGGGCAAAGTGCAGCAGTACTCGTAAGAAGTGGATAAGGCCACTTCGAATGTGTTTGTGTTATTGTTCCAGGTGCTACCGAAACACCTCCCTAAACGGATGCAATCGTGCACGGTGGGATATTGCGCTGGAGGATTTCGGAAAACAAGAAACAGACTAAACCGATCTAGTCTTTCAAGAGGGGCCCAGAGCCCAGAGGCACGAGGTGACAGCAAAAACACTGGCCCCACAGAGCCGAAGCCCTGACACCGTAGCGGCCGCGGGCTGCAACCCCAGAGAAAACCTATACCCCAATCCCCAATGCCCAAATCACGCTACCAGAGGCCGCAAGGGAACCCCCATTGAAATACTGGCCGCGGCTTTTCACGTCGAGGCCCGTCACCCAGTGCCCCGCGCCGAAGTGCAAATCCAACGCGGGGCCCCAAGACCGAGGCCCTTAACGAAACGCAGTGGGCTCCAAGATCCGCGTCCTGAATCGGCCGCGCCCCATGCAGATCAACAGAAACCGCCTGCAAGTGGCCAATCCGACGCCGAACGCCGACCCATTGCTCTAAGACCCTTGGGCGTTGGGCAGGCGGAGAAGGGCGACAGCCCACGAATACGAAGGACACACAATGGGAAGCAAGGGCATGATGTGTAACCATCAAGAACATACATATGAATAAACATTCTCGCGCAACGCACCTGCTCAGGCAGACCTCAGGGGCAACGCCCCCCTTCCTCGAGACAGGGGGGGCACGAACAAATCACGGATACTATTTCCCAACGCTGGCGCAGGCAGTGTTGCATCCATAGATCCTGCCTCACCCTTCGGCACGGGGCCCCGCGCCGCGGCCGTGCGTGACCGCGCCCCGTCGCGGGCGGGCTCGTGACGCAGCGCCGGTCGACGCGCTGCGGGGGCGCGGCCCTGTCGTCGCAGGCCCTGGTACTCACTAAAGTTCAGCAGGGTCAAAGGCAAACTGATCCAGTACTCGATCACCGCATCTTGAGCGCATCCCTGTACCGCGACATAACGACGCGCGACAGCGACTCAGGCTGGATGCCGAACTTCCTGAGCTTGGACTGGGTATTCATGCAGCTGTTGCGCATGGCTATTTTGTTAGCTTGGAGCGACTCCGTGCCGAACGCCTTCAGGAGCTCTGCGCTCATGCAGAGCGCGCGGATGACCACGATCTCCGCGGTGATGCCTGCGGTCGCCTCGGTGGCGTAGCTCGGCAGCGAGTGCTCTGTCGCGTTGCCCGCCACGGTCGCCAAGGCCCCCTCGGCGGTGCACGTCTGGTCGAGCCACTCGTTGACGGGCGCCTCGTGCAGACCGAGGCGGTAGATGTCGAGCGCGGCATTGAGAGTCGTACAATTGTCGCACTCCTTCTTGAACTCAGCGACGCCAGCCGCCTCCTCAGCGCTTTTCTTCAGGTTCGTGAAGTCCAGCCTTGTCTTCTCGCACTGGGCGCCGACGATCTTCGCCCCGACCCTCTGGACAAGGTCGCTCGCAGAGTTCGCGGCGTCAGCCGCCTGTAGCGAAGCGCCAGCGTGAAATTTCTCAAGGGCAATGCTGCGGGCGTTGTGGTTCGCTTTCTGGACGGCCCGAGTCAACTCCCTGGCGTGGCGCGCGACGTCGGCAGGCGTAGCATCTTGCGAACCCGCCTCCACGTGGTGCTCCGCCTGCGCGAGCGTTGTCTGGGCGCGCGCCACGCGCCAGGCAACGCCCAGCCACGCTGCCACGCCCGTTGAAGCATCCACCGATGAACACGGCACGTGCGGCGCTCAGAGCTCCAAGACTCCTAACAAGCAACCATCTTTCGTAGTCCAGTCGGCCCCGTCCTTGAAGAGGTCGGCAATTATGGAGGTGAACAACGGGTTGCACGACTCCTGCAGCTTCTCGGGCAGGGCCTTCATGCGACAGCTGTGAAACGCACCCTTCAGACGGTGAGTCAACTCCGTAGCACCATCATTCCACGTGGCCAACGCATCTGCTAACATCTCGTGCTTCACCCCGAGGTCCACGGCCGCTATCTTGGACTGGAGCGCACGAGAGCAGCGCTCCACTTGCTCGTCCGCCGCGAACACGTTGGACAAGTCCTTGAACAACTCCTTGTAAGCGATCGTCACCGCCGTCGTCTGGGCGCCGCCCTCCGTGCCGATGTCGCCGTTGCCCTATGGGGTGGGGCAATGGGCCCACCTGCGCTCCCACGTCCAACCCTATCGGTGTGTACTACATGCTGCTAGTCAGTAGTCGCTAATCCTAGCTACTGGTACCCTTAGACACACCGACGGGGGTTGGACATATGAGTGCAAGTGGGCATATTGCCCCCCCCCAACCTCGCCATCAGAAGTGAGCGCCTTGCACTGCAAGATGGACCTATTGAGGGCCATGGCCTTGCACTCGTCCGCACAACCCGTGTACATGGCGGCCTCCCAGTACGGTACGTCGCCCACGATGCGCTTGAGCAGCTTGGCGCGCTGCTCCGACGGGTTAGCGTCCATCCGCTCCAGCTCGGCGATGGCCGACTTCACCTGGCCTACGTTCTTCGTGACTGCATCTGCGTGCTCCGTCATCCACTTCAACTTCTTAGCCCAGAAGGCTCTGGCGCTCGTCAGGGGCGCCTGGCCCACGAGCTGGTGCACGCTCTGCTGTCCAGTGGTGCGTCGGCCCTCAGCTTCCAAGCGCCCTGCGTCCACGTACACCTGCATGTCAGTGTCCGCTGTCAAAGACGTCGCCTGTATCGCTGTCAGCACCCGGATCGCCGAAGTCATCTCGAGGTAAACTGAAGCAGAGTGGTCGCCGAGCTCCGCGTCTTCGGGCAATGGTGCGAGGACGAGCTCCGCCTCGCAGTAGAGCTTGACGTTGTCAGCCGCGCTGGGGCCTGCCGTGAGCCACTCGGCGAGGGCATCTGCGACGGCGATCTCCAGGAAGGTGTTCGCGACGTCGGCGTCGGACGTGCACCCATCGACCAAGCACGCTGCACATGGGTTCGCAACATCCCGAGGTTTGTCGGTGAAGCCCCAGGGCCGACACCGCTCCATGAAGCCGACCAGCAACTGCTTCATCTTGTCCGTGTCCAGGTCGGCCTTGTTGATGTCCTGCCAAGCGTTCATGGCAGCCCTCCTGGCCAATGCCTTCACAGCCCGTTGCGTGAGCGTGGCGCCCGCTTTTCGTAGGACTTCCCATGAGGCCATCAGCTCCCCGTCTGGCACCTTCGCCACAGCCTTCTCGTCGAACAGCTTCGCCTTGCTGTAGAGCTCCAGGTGGGTATGCAGCGCGCGGCGCTCCGTGCCCGTGAGCTTCTGGACGAGTTGTCTAGCTTGGTTCTCGGCTCTCCCATTCTTATGGCCGTTGAAGGCCCTCTCGAGCGCCAGCTCCCAGACCCAGTAGTCCACTGTGCCGAGCGTGTGCGGGTTCTGCATTTCGGGCTCGTAACTGTCGGTGGGCGCCGCGGCCGCCCTCGAATATTTCAAAGGCTTACCACCCATGTCACGCGGCGACATTGACGGCTGCCTCTTCACTGCGCTGCCAGGCTGATGATCGATGGAGTCGGCTCTGGAGGAAGCGGCCCCAGTGCACTCCGCCGCGGCATGTGGGTCGAAGGGATGCACGCTGCTCGAGGCCGCATCCTCAAACTCAATTACCTCGATGTCATCGCCCCCTCCGTCGCCGTCGTCCTGCTCGCCGATCTTCGATCCCGCGCGGCTCCTCTTGGCGCTCTTCTCCGCTAGCCTGCCAGCGCGGCCCCGCACCTCGGCCCACGTCGCGATGGACGAGCGCGCGCCAGGCGTGAGGTCGAGGTTGATCTCGCCACCCTGGCCCGCAGTAGTAGCACCAAACAACACGGTAGACTGGTTCTCGAACAGCTCTTGGGCATCTCGCTTGGAAGCCGACGCTGACCACGGTGCTACTGCGGTGGTACAGCTTGAATGTTGGATACTTGCCTCTCGGCTCGGGGCAGGCCTTTACCAAGTAGACGGTGAACAGGGTCGGCCGAGATGGAATCTCAACTGGTTTGATGTGTAGTGCTTTGGCCGTTCTCCCGAACTCCCGCTCCACGTCTTTGGCCGTCAGCGCAGCGCACTTCACGTAGAGCTCGAAGCGGCAGTCGACGGAGTCGCCTAGGTTGAGCGTCCTGGGAGGCGCCCTCGTTGGTTGCTTCTGAGCTGGCGCCTCACCCTGCTGACACGAATCCCGCAACTGCCCTGCCTCTTGAGCTGCGACCAACCTTGACCAGGACAGCACAGGCGCGTTCTCCAGGAGCCACGTCAAGCATTCAACGCAAGCCACCTCCCCCTCCTCCAGGTGCGCGGCCAGCTCATCGCCGTTCTGGACCATCCCTGTGTCTTAAGTGAAAAACAACAGCACGACAACCCTGTGAACCCGAACGCCTACCGTTCACCCCGCTCGAAGCTTCAAAGCGGGGCCGTTTCAAACTCATGCCCAAAAGCGGTGCGCCTAGGATTGCAAAGGGCATTCGGCCTTTGAAACCCCGAACGCCTCACCGCAACATTGCTCGGACCACGACAGACGCGGCCAACGGGGGGCCAGCGGCCCAGGGTGCCAGGACACAGGGACACGTGCGGATGAGAAGTGTGTAGTGCTTGTTGGCCCTCAGTCCCTGTCGGTGCACTGGCGCAGATCGCAAGTGCTGACCGCGCCGCTGCCTCTCCCGCGGCCCTGCCGCGACCTGCCGCGGCCGCCTCTCGCAGCGCCGCGGCCGGCGGTCGGGGGCCCTCGGGCCGGCGCATGTGACTTGCGCCCCGTGGCCATGGGCTGCTGCGAAGGCGTCAAGAAAAAACGCCATCCTTCCCTTGATACAGCGCAGCAGCGACTGCAAAAGTAAGACGAACAAGTACCCGTCATGGCAGCCACTTGGAGCGATTATGGCCAGACCATGTGCGGGGGTACACTCGGGACACAGTCTCAAGCATCCAGCGTTTAGCTTCTAGTCTCCAATAATATTCGTCTACGTGCGGTGCGACTGCGACGCTACTCTCGAGCGCCCTGCTGCCTCGGGATTCGCGGGGCCCACCGGCGTGCGGGCAACGAGCGCCACAGCAAAGGCCAGGAGAGCGCTTCCGACTAGATGACCAGATACTAGACATACCTAGTGACACCCAATTACAACCAGTTACACAGAGCTACACACAGTTACACTCAGTTGCACACAGTAGCAACGCATAGTTGCACCCACTTTCACCCAGTTGCACACTGCTCCGCCCAGTTACACCCAGTTACACATAGTTACAAGTTACACCCAGTTACAACTAGTCACACGCAGTTCAACCGACATTCGCAGAACTGCCGCACATTTGAATCTGATCGGACCAACACGCTTCGCACAAATACGCCATGCTGCCAGTGATCTGAATGGGGTTGCAGGCGCCCCTCCCCGTGGAAAACTCTCAAAAGGGAAATTCTGTACAAAACAAGCTTGTTGTACAGAATTCCCATCTGGCCTCTTCGTGCCGCAAAAAGGGAGACGTCGATCGTCAACCTTCGTCAATACCCCAGTTTGAGATGACGATGGCGACGATGGCGACGGCGATGACGATGATGCTGGCCGTGGCGACGATGGCGACGATGGCGACGGCGGTGATGGTGATGGTGGGATGGTGGTGGCGATGGCGAGGGCGATGGTGGTGGTCACGGCAACGACGATGATGATGGTCATGGTGGTGATGATAATGATGATGCTGGTGCTAACGAGGACGACAATGACGATGCCGACGACGGTGCTGACGACGACGGTGGCGGCGATGCCGATGGTAATGATGGTGTTGGTGACGATTACGACGATGGTGGCACGGAAGGCTGCGACGACGGCGATGATGCAGATGATGATGATGACGAGCATGACTTTGAGTTTGGCGATGGAGACGGCGATGCTAACGATGACGACGACGATGCGAACGGCGATGGCGGCGGCTAGGGGCTAGGACGATGACGACGACGACTAAGATGACGCGGTAATGGGGAAGAGGGAAGTGATGACGATGACGAGGCAAATAACGAATTGGCAAGACGACGATGACGACGTCGATGGTTATGATGATAATGGTGATGGTACGGATGATGACGGTGATGATGGCGATGGCGACGCTGACGATTGCGACGACGATGATAACGACAACGGCGACGGCGACAATCACGATGACGTTGACGATGACATGGGAGAAATGCATGGCAAACTTAGTGTTGCATCACATGTTCCCTTCGGGTTTCCCACGGGGCGCGACGCCTGCAACCCCGCCCACGTGACCGCAGCATGACGACCGTGACAATTCGACAGGAAGACGATGACGACGACGATGGCGATGCTGATGCTGGTGATGATGACAATGGCGACAGCGACAATGATGATGGCGGTGTTGGCGATGATGGCGATGACGGCGGCAACGATGACGACGATGATCGGGGCGCCAATGACGACGGCGACGACGCCGACGATGACGACAACGACGTCGGGGCACCTATGCTCGCAGTGCCCCTCTATTGGGCCTCTCTTGGGCGCCTTTTGGTGACCTTGCGGGGACGTAGTGGAGGTTCGCTGGGCGCTGCCTAGCTCGGGCGTCGGATGTCCTGGAGACGACGCGGGGCGTCTGGGGCTTCATTGCAGGTGCCATTTCAGCGCCTAATTAACATGAGAGGCTGCCCCCGCGCGCCCTGGGCGGGCCGTTCGGGAGGCGGAGGTTGGAGGGGCACGGGGAGGGGGGGGGGGGGGCGAGGAGGATGGGCAGGGGTAGGGGGAAGGCGACGGCGACGAAGGTGGCGAGCTGGTCGGACGACGATGACAACGGCGACGGTGGCGATGATGATGCGCATGGTGATTGCCCATGTGATGGTGATTGCGGTGGTGGCGTTGATGGTGACGACGGTGGCAACGGCGTTAATGATGATGATGCGGAGGAGGAGGAGGCGGATGGCCACGACTGCGGCGGCGGCGGCGGCGCTGACGATTGCGACAATAACGACGAGAACGATGATGGCGACGGAAAGAACGGCGACGACGAGCACGGCGCCGATGACGACGACGACGATGACGAGGCCAGCGACGACGATGACGAGAGTGAAGTCATGAGGGGGAGGAGGAGGAGGAGGAGGAGGAGGAGGAGGAGGAGGAGGAGGAGGGTGACCATGACGATGACGACGCAGACGACGAGGCTGTAGGACGCCGACGACCACGTCGATGGCGATGATTATGGTGATGCAGATGATGGCAATGACTGCGGTGGTGGTTGTGCTGATGAAGATGACGCTGGCGATGCCGACGGCGATGCCGACGAGGACGGTGGCGATCGCAATCGTGATTAGGTTGGCGATAGTGGCCATGGCTGTGACGACGAGGATGCGGTGGTGATTCGGGGGAGGAAGGCGACGAAGCTACTGGCGACGCAAGTGGCGAGCTGGCAGGATGCCGATGGCGACGACGTCGATGGCGGGGGCGATGCCGACGACGATGTTGATGACGACGGCGGGAACGACGACGACGACGGCGGCGAACCTTTGGAGGCGTCGCTTTCAAGGGCGTTGAACGCGACACCTCGCAGGGCCCTCTCGGGGCCCCCATTGGCCACCCTCGGTGCCTGTGTATTTAGTGCGCCACGGATGGGCGGGCCCCAAGGGGCCCCTAAGGGGACGCAAGGGGGGCTAGATTCAACCGCTGGCTTGACATGACAAAACTCATGTCTATATGTTGTGCCTCTCTGGGGAGGTGCGGTGGGGGGTGGGGGGGGGGGGGAGGGGGGGGGGGGGGGGGGGGGGGGGGGGGCGTTCTGGTGAGCTCGTGGGCCCCCTCTCGGGGCAATCTTCTTTTAGTTGTCCAGGTGCCCTTCCCTCGCCCCCCCCCCCCCCCCCCCGAGGCTTCGGGAAGGCTTCGAGCGACCCCTTGGCGATTCAATTTCACTGGCGTTGAACGCGGCACCTCGAACGCACCCTGGGCACCCTCGCAAGGCCGCCTCGGAGCTCTCCTGTGGCCCTTCGAGAGCCCCCATCGGGCTCCTTTCGGTGGTCCGCGCGGGCTTCGCACGATCCCTTAGAGGGGGCGATGCGTTCACGGGCGTTGAACGCGACGCATCGGCATGCCCTCTTGGAACCTTCTCGGTGCTGCCACGGTGTGTTCTCGGCGTTCTTTGGTGCCCTCGTTGGGGTCCTCCATGGGCTCATGGGGGTGCTTCCAGCGACCCGTTAGAAGTCTCATTGCGCGGGCGTTTGAAGTGACACCTCGGATGCCCCTCGCGGGGCCCTTTCGGGGCTTCCCCATGCTCTGTCGAAGCCCTCGCGCTGCGGTTTTTTCTCGTTTCTGGTATGGGCCCGCTGCTGCCTTTGGGTGAGCCCAAGGCGAGCAAACCTATGGTGCTGGTTTAGCACAGCTCATCATGGCTCCTGCTGTGCGTTTCTCGGTGGCCTCTTGGGGCATTCGTGGGCACTCCCGGGGCGGCCTTCTGACTGCCTTGGGGCCCTCTCTGCGCCCCCATCGGGCTCAGTTTTTTTTGTTTTCTCATGGTTTCTACTTTGTTTCTCGTTTTCTCGTTGTTCGGGCGTCGGGCGACCCCGCTGCGGCGCCACTTTCACGGGCGTCGACAGTGACGCCTCGAGGGGCCTTCCCGGCACCCCCAGGGCGCGGTCTTGGGGCTTTCTCTGGAGCCCAAGGGGTCGAACACCTCGCCGTCGATTGCTTTCCAGGCGCGCACCCAGACGGACTGCGCCCGCCTGCGCTTGCATGTTCGCCAGAATTCCTGCGACCCGAGCTGTTCGGCGGGGCTGCGCCAAAACACATGGATGGCAACAAGCGCTGCTGGGGGCGCTCGCACAGGCGACCCCGAGTGGAGGGGGGATGGAGCGGGCACGGGGAAGGAGGAGAGAGAGGGCGGTCATCTTCTCTGCCATTGGGCACCACGCCCAGCGGCGCTAAGTGGCGCTGTATGGCGCACGCCACCAACACGACTCCTTCAACGCGCGCTTCCAACCCTCGGCGGCGCTCGCTTGAGCTACATTGGGCGATATTGGCGGCGCCATTGGCTTCAAATGCGCGGCGGATGTCCGCCCCAACTGCAAAGTATGCAGGGAAGTCGCGGGTGCGCACTTGGTGGTTTTGCGGTTCCCGCTGTTGCCTCGCTCGAGCCAAGCCGCGCCATGCTGTCTCATGTTGGTGGCCGTCTTGGGCGACCGATACCATCTGAAGTCCGATTGGGCTCTTCCTGGTGCTTCGGGATGGCTTCAAGCGGCCCCTCGGAGACGTAGCTTCCGCTGGCGTCGAACGCCACGCCTCGAAGGGCCCTCTCGCGACCCTCTTGGCGCCGTCCTGGGGCTTGCGTGGGGCCCCATGCCCCCTT